TATTATATATTATATATATATATATATATATATATATATATATATATATACATAGTGTGTATGTATATGTGTATATACATATATATTAATAATTCACATATATATATATATATATATATTAATATATGTATCTATCAATATCAATATAATATATATATATATATATATTATATTATATACATATATGTGTGTGTGTGTGTGTGTGTGTGTGTGTGTGTGTGTGTGTGTGTGTGTGTGTTGTGTGTGTGTATGTATATAAATATATATATATATATATATATATATATATATATATATATAGAGAGAGAGAGAGAGAGAGAGAGAGAGAGAGAGAGAGAGAGAGAGATTACATATATTATATATTATATATATATATATATATATATATATATATTTAATACACACACACACACACACACACACATATATATATGTGTGTGTGTGTGTGTGTGTGTGTGTGTGTGTGTGTGTGCAGATTAATATACACACATACACATACATATATCCCACCTTGCCACTTTGTGACACAATGTAACCAGGGTTGATAGAGGCGGAGAAATGTAATAAGGAGGAGTTCCATATAAAATCACGGGAACGACTATTCGATGTATCTTTTTTCCAACACAGAATCTGTGAGTACACTGGAAAGGATAAATAGGCGATCTTTATTTTTGCTATTATATCTTCCTTTTTGGAACCGGGCTCTTTTTCAAAATAAAGGATTTTATAGAATACGAAAAAAGTTTTAGGGTAACCGAATACCTTGAATGGAACTAAAATAAATTTGCAAGTATAGAAGCCAACTATAAAGATAAATTCGCCGGAAGCGATACATCTAGTCCGATGTAAATTGCAGAGGAAGTAGGGAAATGCGCAACTGTTTGGTCTAATTTGCAAATAAAAACATTCGTTTGGCAAAAAATATTTGTCAAGTCATAATGAGGGAGGAAAAAAACTTTCAATTCAGCGAAACGGAAAATACGCATTTATTGAAAACAAAAACAAAACTACAAAAAATAAAAATTAAACTATAATAAGAAAGCATATTTTTATAGACCAGGAAAATAGGTTAAAAAACGTTATCGCGCACGAGGCAGCAGCCCGGCCCCCGCTGTGCCGCGTGCGCGATTGCTCTCCCGCTCGCACGCAGTCGCGTTGGCGAAGGGCGCGGCGCGTGCAGAAGAAGACCTGCATCTCTCCTGTCTAACCTGCGGCCAATGTTACAAAGATAGATATACTCTGAACAGGTGTGTTGACGAAAGAAGTAGGTGATGCCATAGGTCGTTTTATCTGTTGAATGATTACATTGCAAGATTTAGTGAAAATATTTTCTAAGACAACGCAAGTGTTTAATTCTTGGCATTTTACTGCTTTCTTTATATACAAAAGCACATAATACCAAAAAACAAAAACAAAAGCATTCCCTGACGCTTCACTAGTTTTCCATCAATAGGATATTGCCCAGAACATCATCATCATCGTTTCTTAACAGTTTTACCACGTATTTTTATGGTCTGGAAAAATATGCTCTATTAGTATAAAATTTATTTTCCATTATTTTGTAATAAATAGGCAGTTTTTCTTGTCGCTGAAACAACTAAAAGTATTTTTTCACTTATAATAACTTAAGGCGAATATTTTTCGCCTAACGAATATTTTCACTGCATATTCTTTCCCTTACGTCTTTAATTTACATCTGACTGTATGTTCTTCATCATATACTCCTCTACTGTCAGCGAAGAAAAATATGCTTTAAAAGTACGTTTAAGGATTTTGCTTTCTGTGATGGGAACAAGTGCTGAGTTTATCGAAAAATAATGAACATGTGGCATAGCAAGTTTAATTCAATTTCAATTTTAACATGTATACCTGTCTCTGAATAGTGAGACTGAAGAATATCTATATATATATGTGTGTGTGTGTGTGTGTGTGTGTGTGTGTGTGTGTGTGTGTGTGTGTGTGTGTGTGTGTGTGTGTGTGTGTGTGTGTGTGTGTGTGTGTGTATGTGTGTGTGTGTCATTACAGTTGCCAGAGAGTGTGCTCGCGATAAAACAAATTACTGCAACCGGCGGTGTTGCCAGTGCGTAGTTTCTTCACTTCCATATACTTGTAGGCGTATGTTAAACAATTAACGAGAGGAGATAATATAGACGGTAGACTATTGAAAAGCTGGCATCTTTTTCATACATCGTCATAAACCGGTTTGCCATAATCGATCTTCACATCGGTCTCGTTCAAATAATACGTCTGTTTGCATGTAGTTATGCATATGAGTTAAAACTGAACATTTTACCTGAATTCCTGAATTGCATTATGGACTAAACTAAAACTAATTATTAATCTAAACAATGAGGCAGCGACGCTAGGGAAAAAAATCTTTAAAATGTGTCTGCGACAACATTGTGAGTTTCACCAAGTGCTACTTAGCGAATCATAGCTGCGTCGGAACGGTGGGGTCGGGTAGGTGGGTAGAAAATTATCCGTTAAGGTGGAAATATGAAAAGGAAACCAAAAAACCCTTTGAACCGCGTAGATGAAAATATGCGTTGGGGTCTTTAAGAAAGTCTTTTAGATCTTATAAAACCAGCGGCTTTCCAATCTATGAAGCGTCTGATCTGTTAGTCGTATGGGTACGGCGAATTCTTTAGTTCCGCATCTTCACGTTGTACCAGATGCAATCCATATCAGCATAAGGAGAAAAGCAGACATTTCATACAGAGATAGCCGCGGTGAGCTATCATCGCGTCCAGTACAAACGCATCATTAACCAATAGGAACAAACCTACCAACAAGAGGATCGTTAATCAATTCAAGGTCAAGAACTTGAGATCTTGGAAGAAATAATTCGTATTTTCGCTAATTTCGTGATCCTAGCAGTCAATACAATACAGGGATACGCGGACAATGGCTACCCATTCATATTTAGGCAGAAAGTTTCTGTGCGTTAATTTTCCTTTTGTAGGAACGGCCTGTGTTTGCGTTATCACTTATTAGGCTGTATGGTCGTCTTCGTGATCGAGTCTTTTTAGTCTTTTTTCAGTGAATTCGTTTGGGTTAATGAATGGTAGTTATGCTGGATGAGAATAGATAATCACTGGATATTGAAATAGGGTTCTGAAACATGCCCTTTTCTTATTTGTTTACGTGTTTTTTGTGGGTGCGCAACTTGTGAGGAGGCGAGAGGGAGGGGATGGGGTGTTACCACCATTAGGAGTGGGGTGGAGTAGTGAGATGAGGCTTGCCTCAAATATGCCTCCTTTAGGCCAGCTATCCCAGCTATCAGAATTATATTACTGGAATTTTAGAATCCTTTAAATATTTTTGATGTAATATTAACTTACAAGTGATGTCACATGATAATTATTTTCAATACATTCATTTGTCTTGTGCACGAGTAAATTAATTATTCGGATGCGTTATGAACAAACCACATTCATAAGTCACTCGTCATATCAACGCAAAAGAGAGAACAAGATTATCCATAACCGTTTTATAATTTAGTAGCTTTCTTGGAGAGAAAGAGAGAAAGCAAGTAGAAATATGCACACCAGAAAACCAGACCGATTGCCCGTGCCTGCAGTGGTCATTTATCACGCTGGATGAAGATATGATGACATTGGGAGGAGAGGAGGGGGTTATAATCGTTTTATTGTCCTTATAAAATATATGATCCGAGTTTTATGATGTTTTGATGGAGACGTTTGATATATATTACTTACAAGTGATGGCACACAATAGTTGTTTTCGATATATTCATTTGCCTGGTGCACAAGTACATTTATTATTCAGATGCAATGTGAACAATTGTCACAGATATGCTATTTATCATATCAACGAAAAAGAGAGGGAAAAATAGTGGAGCAGATTGTTGAAACAATTTCACTTGTTGATAAAAGCATCAACTTTGGCAAACGTGCTTCAGAACCTACTTTCTCAGAAAAGTACGTTATCCACTTTAAAAAAAAAGAAAATGGACGCCATTAGAAGTGGTTTTAAACGGTACTTAAACTGAAATTTGACTGAAAAACGTTTTTTTCTAGTATGAGGAATCCAATTATGTATTTAGAAAATTAGAAAAAAAATATTAAGATGCAATGGGAATTAAACGAAGAAATACTCTCTAAAGTTTTGTGTGATATCTAGGTACGTGATCACCCAATGTACAGACATGTGCATATTACACAGTGCTAGAAGATATAATGTGGCTTATCTGAGTTGATCAGTGCATTAGAAATATGAATACACTTCCTTCGATTCTGTGTTTTACAGTGTGAAAATACTGATTGATTTGTGCTTTCCTTTCTTTTCTGGGGGGCCCGCATGTGCATTTTGCACACTGTTACCTGGCCCCATATGCAAGCAGCTTGGAATGGCTTCTAAGCAAACAAGTCCAGTCTTGCCTCCTCAACCTTGCCTGTAGTGTTGTATTTGTCATGCATGATGATGACAAACGTCAAGAATATTGAGGTCTGCATCGTCTATGATATGTGGGTATTGCCTGAGCTTTTTTAAGACGAGGCTCACTTCAGGAAAAAACTCCAATGCTTGTCATGCAGTTCTCTTGCCTTTGACACGAAAACTTGACGCGTCACAGCCAGTGAAGGCGTGACAGAACATGCCACTGGATTTCTCTTGGTTTTGTTTGTCATTCTCCGTTGATCCCTCTGACATTAAACAAAACGGCCTGTTCGCTCATACTTTGATGAATATGTCTATATCTTTGAAACTACATCTTGATATTTTTGGAGACAATGGATATACAAGAGAGGAACTATCAACGATAATAGCATCACATTCTGGCTGTTTGTCAGGAGGAGAAAATAGTAGCTTCCAGAATTTTTACAAACTGAGACTTCTGGCCGGAGTGGAGTTTCCCCCTGTTGTTCATTGCTGCAGGGAAAGACTGATTCTCATGCCTAAAGAAGTCAAGCAGGTCATACTCTCGTGATTGGCACGATATAAAGAGCTGCTGGAAAAGACGACAAAGTATCTGCTACTTCATGTCACTGGAAGCTGGTGATGCAGGTTTACACACATATTAATGCACAGTTACTTATCACAAACATACTTGTAGACATAATACATCATGATACTGGGTGTGTGTTAGACTCAGGGACATACGAATCATCCACCAGCTGAGCTGTCGACAACAGTGGATCAGATTTGACAGACTGACTGAGATTCGAATGCGGGTTTGCCGCGTGAGCGTGGAGCCACGATATTTCCAGCGCCCTTGGCGGCTTGGCTTCCAAATCCGGGACAAAAGCTCTGGTTTCGGTCTTTCCTCTTCTGAAGTTTGGATATCGTATCACGCCTGCAATAAAAAAAATAACTAATAGAGCTTGACCACAGGATTTATATGAATAATCAAAGATGTTGCCCTTCAACTTGAAGCAGCATCTGTAATAAGCTATCGAAAAGTGTTTTCGCAATATTAAAAGCTGACGGTCATAATGGAATTCAGTTTCATTAATGTACAAGAATATATATATACATATATATATATATATATATATATATATATATATAAGTATATATATATATATATACGTATTTATGTATATATATATTCATATATACATATGTATACATATGTACACACACACATACACACACCACATACACACACACACACACACACACACATACACACACACACATATATATTATATATATATATATATATATATTATATATATATATACATATATATATAATATATATATATTATGTATATATATATATATATATATATGTATGTATGTATATGTATGTATGTTATATATATTATACATATATTATATATATATATTTATTTATTTACATATATATATATATATATATATATATATATATATATATATATATATATATATATGTATGGAGAACAACAGTTAAGAACACTGCTACAAAATAATTATCCTCAAATGAAATTTACGTTTGTTTTTAACAACTCTAACACCATTGCCAATTTCTTAAAACAGCCTACGAGATGCCACTCTGATTTATGTTCTAATGTCGTCTACTTATTTACCTGTCCTGACTGCCAAGTCAGGTACGTGGGATCAACCTCACGATGGTTACGCCACCGAATATTAGAACATAAAGGCAGATCTTTTCGTACTGGGCTTCCGCTGAGCAGACCATCCTTCTCGGCCATTAGAGAACATTCCCATAATCACTCACATCCTTTCTCCAACACAGATTTCAATATACTAGCCACTCACTCCTCACGACAAGATCTCATTATCTCGGAATCCTTACTAATTCGTAAGATGAAACCCGAACTAAACAACTCGACGACTGCAACCATCTTGTTTACAAATTAGCTGTTTTCACACTTGACTATCACCGATAATGGTTAGTTTATCCCTTACCATTATTTCATTATGGTTATATTCTTACATGTTCTTTCGTTTTATCGTTTTGTTCACTATATTTGTTCTCCATATATATTTTCTCTTGTTCTCGTGTGTTTACGTATTTTTGTAAGTTCTAATCCTATTTTAATTATGTTTTTAAGAACCATTTTCTTTAGCTTTATTGTTTTTGTCTAATTGCCTCTTTTTGGTTCATTATTACAGCATTGATAATGGAGAGTTGATTGATCTCCGAAACGTTTGCAAATAAACATGAAATTGTTTACGACTGTCTTAGTCTACCTCTTCATACTGACTATTCGACGCCTGAGTGGCAAACCCATAACGACATACATCAAAAGCAAGTATGGCAAGACAGCACTGGACACTTTTAGGAGGACGGAGAAGCTTTCCTACCGCTCCAAAAAGCTGCAGAAAGACATAAAGTTCCTGAATTTATGCAAATATTACGATGTAATTCCCAAATTTCTCAACTTCCGTGTTCACAATCCTGTATTTGAAAGCACCCAAATATATCGCTCCTGGTGTTTTGTACTCCTAGACAGAGAAATCTCCAACCAAAAGAAAAAAGAAACTGTAATCACTGACAAACTTAATAAGGATTATCTTAATCTGAAATCTATACTATCTCCATTGGACTATATTTGTATTACTAGACTGATCAACAATAATGTCCACAAGAAAATGGTTAAGGTTGACAACATTCACAGTAACAAACTTCTAAAACTAGGTATTGACGTGAAGAAAAAAGTTGATAAAAACAAAGTGATCTTTAATTTCTCTGATAAAAAACTTATCTGAAGAACAGAAAGATATTCTTTCCCATGGACTGGATTATTGTTTGCCGCCAACTAAGGTTTCCTTCCATAAATTCTTTCTCTATTTTGAAAAACTATGTAATAATCTAAAAAACTGTGATATCTATAATAACACCTTCAATAATGTCACCAGTAATATATCAACCATAGCCAATAACACCTTTAAGAAATTCTCTCGTCAAGGTAAACAATCCAATGATGCAGAAAATTTCACTTCACCTCTACAGACGCTTAAGAATGATGAAACTATAACA